CTATAATGGTTCGTATTCTTTCTCGGGATTTATTAATTTCCAATACGCCATACCACGATCAACTGGTTATTGGCAGCAACGATTACTGATGTATTTTTAATTTTGCGCCGCCTCCGAAAAGGTTGAAATGTATTTAATACACTACCTAACGAGTAAATAGGTTTCATTCATATCTGTGACGTAATTGTATGATTGAATGAAATAGAAATTATTTTATACTTTTTAGTGCATTTCGAAGTCGGTGTATTTTTTTTCTTAAAATTATTTTATGTAGATTATGCCTACGTCCGTATCTCCTAAGTTATTCAACAGTACAGCAAACATGAGTCCAAAAACGCCAAAAAAGAAGCGCAGTAACCCCATTTGCACTGAAGGTTTCTTCACGAAGTGTACAGGGTTCGCCCAGGCGCTGCTTGATGGCGCACATAGTCTCTAGTCCTTAAATTCCGCCTATGCAACAGTCAGTCCATTCCCCGCGAGTTGCTGTGCACGTTTGGTAGCGAGGTGGCCTCTCGTCGATTCAGACAAGTGATGTGCCGAAGTAATTTAGGGTTTGCTGTTGTGCGGGTTTTATCACTTTAGTAAATTTGTGAAGCCACGCATAATACGGATAGTCGTGGCTTACCGTTGTAATCACCAGCTACGAATTGTCATTGACGGTCGCAGTCGCTCGCAGCGCAGCCAACGATCCGCGCAAGTACTAATGTACTGAATCAACTGAAAGTTTGTAACGTTTAATAAAATCTGTGCCGAGAATACGTGTTTTCACATTCGCAATTAGAAATGTCGACGCAAAATCAGGGTGTAGACCGTAATCAATTCTCAATCGACTCAGCATACATATTTATCACTGCATCTACCCCTATTCACAACGAAAAAATATCCGTTTTTTGCTCAGCGACAGAAAATCACTGCCTGAAAACTTCTTATACCGCAAAATATCTCAATTCATTTGCGAGTTTACAGCGTCTGTTACATAGTAGCGGTTCATAGCGTTCGCATTGCTAGGTCTATACACACACGGCTATTAGAACTTTTATGCGTGTTCACCTAACAGCTCATAGTAACAACAAATCGCATCACTTCGCAAAATCCTCACGAACATGTCGTTCATCTATTCTAGCTGATGCAACAGACGCGGGTTATCAAATCCGAATTGTCGCGACCGTTCAGTAGATTCTGCACTCGCGACAACGGCAATCGCACAGGATGAAGAGCTAATACAGTAAACATTCTATTAGGTTGTCTGGAAAGTTCGTGCCGATTTTCGGTAGGCGACATGAAAATTTATTTAGAAAAATTTTTCGCCGAAGACCCTGAAACGTTCTGGAAGGAATTCTCAAGTTGCATGAAAGATGGAGAAAGGTTATAGAACAGAATGGCACCTATATAATTTAATAAATGTATACCAAATTTAAATGAGCTGCGTTTCAATTCCTCTTCAAAATCGGCACGAACTTTCCGAACAACCCAATATATACGTAAAAATGTCCTTTACGACATAAGCAAAAATGTTATCCCCGCCACTGGGGAGAAGACCCCTCGAGACTTCCGAAGGTCACTCGCCGAGAAATGTAACAATATCCGGGTTCGGGTACATCTGTGAGACAATACTAATGAAAATATAAAACTTTTTTATTTCTTATTTTTTCGTTATCAAAGTTTTTCCAATAGATTTTTCGCATTTTTCTGATTAAAATGAGACCAAACACTATATAATTTGAACTATATTTATTGGCTTAATTGACGATAAAAGTTTCTCATACCGAAGAGGATAGCAAGCCAAAAAGAAAGAGACGCTGTGATCATGGCAGTCGGCAAAGATCAATAGTCTGTTCAATTGGTTACAATCCTAATGCGTTGCTAACTTTTTTATTTTTAATCTAATTTTTATACAACTTTCTCCATCATGTTCATGACATTTTCCTGATTAAAATGAGACTAAACACGATGTAATTTCAAAAAACATATTTATTTGTAATTTCAAATATTACATTTACATCGTGGATGTTACTCTAATAACTTACTGCAAGTAAATATGACTCGAATGACGTCGTGTTTGGTCTCATTTTAATCAGAAAAATGTTGCAAATATGTTAGTAAAAATTTCATTAGAAAAATCAAAAATAAAAAAGTTTTATTTTTGCATTAAGTTTTTCTCCAACCGATATGTTATTATTTCTTTACGTTTTGTGTCCTTCGCTCGCTGTCCTTTCCCACATTCGACAAAACATCAATCAATGTAGGACCTGTACGATATCTGCACCAGTTCAGACCCGAGAAATGTGCAGATATTGAATATTTACTATACTTTTTTTTCTGTCTTTTTTTACGTTCGGCAAAGCATCAATCAATGTAGGACCTGCACGATATATGCAAAACTTCAGACCCAACAAATTTGTTTATATAGAATGATTACTGTATAAACCAAAGCCGATATTCGTCTCGATGAACACAGTGTGGCGTGGCGAGGGCCATGTACCGGCGTAATACGTCTCGTATAAGCGATTCGCAACGTGGGCGATGCTGTTTGATCGCCCATTATGTCGTCTCATTCGCACGATGAAAATCCGCTACGATAGCGTTATCCGATTTGGTAAAACTGTACAATTACTCCGTCACCTCAAAAAAAATATTCGGGACATGTTTTCGATGTATTTTTGCCTCCTGAATACGAATATGATCATAAAAATCGGCGGTCGGACATATCCGAGCTGCTATTTTGGAAAAACAGCAGAAAATCGTGATTTCTTAGAGTCTTTTGTATTTATTTTGAAAAACCTAACCGCCTCCGCTCCGAGGTGCGGGGAAGGAGGTAGGGCGTGCGCTTTAGCGAACCTAACCATTCGAAAGGTAATTTTTGACACTTTCGTCGTTCATTTGCAGCCTTACCGTTAGAATTACAAAAAAAATGTATCAGAACTTTCTTGTAGAGAATTGTCCATTCTACATTTTTTGTTGGAAACATTTTTTCATCAGATGAGTATTTTTCAAAATAAATACAAAAAACTCTAAGAAATCACGATTTTCTGCTGTTTTTCCAAAATAGCAGCTCAGATATGTCCGACCGCCGATTTTTATGATCATATTCGTATTCAGGAGGCAAAAATACATCGAAAACATGTCCCGAATATTTTTTTTGAGGTGACGGAGTAATTCTACAGTTTTACCACCCCTAGAAAAATTGTCAAAACCACAAACTTCCTCTCCAAAACGATGCTCTAACCTACAACGCTATAAAAGGACATAGCTGAAGAATAAAGGTTGTCCAAAATGGCTGAAAATTTGTTTCGACCTTTTAAAAATCTGGTTTTTGAAAAATTGGTTTTTTGGTTTTCAACTAGTAACTACTATAAGCAACTTTCCCGTCCCCAGCCCCCACTTTTCACGCGACGGAAGAGTAACTTTTACATTATCTGAGCGCCTATCAGTCGGTAGAACAGACTACAGGGGTTAGTGGTTACAGACAAAGAATGTAAATAGAAAAAGCAAGAAGAAAAAAGAGTTTACATTATTTCCTCTTATTATAAAAGTAGCCATAGAATCTCAACAGAGAGGCTGCGAAGTAGAAATTCCACGAATCATATAAGTCAGAAGGCTTTGAACGAGAAGTCTCGTGGAGGGTCCTGTAACTCGCTTCGAGGGAGCAGACCGAATTAATATTAGTGGAAGAATGTATGTCACAAGCCGTAACGGATGCATGTGGCACGAATATATGAAGTTTTTCTTGACAACAACATTCGCGATTTATTTCCGACATCACGGTAAGAACGACCCACACGGATGCGAAAATGTTCTGGTCGTGCACAATATAGAAGGTTCAATACTTACCGCGCGTAATCACGTCAGAGTCACCAATCCTATAAAGAATACAATCCTACATACAGTATTCAATCGATATACGCAAATCTTTCGGGTCTAAGTTTTTGCGTATATTGTACGGGTTCGAAATTGATTGATGTTTTGCCAAACGTAGAGTTGGACAGCAAGCAAAATATAGTGAACATTCGATATCTGCCAAAATCACCTATACGATATGTGCAAAATGGTTATCTCTACCTCTCAAGCGCCGTGAAGCTTGAGCACCGAGAGGTGTAATGTGAACCTAGTTGTGTATATCCGTGAGACAATACCAATGAAAATGTAAAACTTTTCTATTACTGACTTTATTTCCATAAAACTTTTACCAACATATTTGTGACTTTTTTCTGATAAAAATAAGATCAAACACGATATAATTTGGACTACATTTGCAAAGTTATTCGGCAATAAAAGCTTCTAATATACAGGAGGATAGCATGAAAAAGGATAGAGTGAAAAAGGAAGACATTGAGACCGTGGAAGTCGGCAAAGATTAAAAACACGTTCAATTGTTTAGAATCCTAATGCAGTTTCACTTTTTCATTTTTAATCTATTTTCTATAAAACTTTTTCCATCATATTCGTAACATTTTCCTGATTAAAATGAGATCAAACACGACGTAATTTGAGACATATTTATCGGTAATAACTTATTGAATTAAAGTTTCTGACACATATAAGTAAAACACCTGGAATTACGTATTGCTTCGCATTTGATATCAGTTTAATGAGCAAAATGTTATAATTATGGTGATAAGTTTTATAAGAGGAAAACAGAAAATAAATAACTCGTATTCGCGAATTAGGATTATTTCATCGATATATTACTGTCTTTTACTTTTATTTGTTCGTTATATTTTCTTCGCTCGTTGTTCTTTGCAAAACCAGCCTCGCAAAAGAAATTGGTACCGTAATTACTTTCTAACAGCGGTCCTTAAAATTATATATTTATCTAAAAATATATTGTTCCATACTCCGTGTAAAATTTATAACTACGTTAATTCAACCAATAGATCAAGGAATAATACGAAAAGCAAAAAGATGTTTTCGCCATAAGCTAATGCAACACGTAATTAAAAATGAAAGAGGCGTGACTTTTACAAAAAAATATACAATTAAAGATTGTAATGAAATTATCAATAAAGTTTAAAGTGAAATAACAGAGAATAACATAAAAAACAGCATAGAAAATGATTATTTTATCATGACAAATGAAAACTGAAGAAACAGCAAACGAAGAGGAAGAAGAAAACGCAATAATGTAACAAATTTGCACGCATCTTTAGAACAAAATATAACTACATGAGATATTGAAAACTATTTATTCGTATACATACACGACAGAGGGGAATAGGTACTCAAAAGAAGCTAAAGAAAATATCAACGAGAGAAACCAGCACACACAGGAAAAAATAGACACAGATACAAATGAACAAACGGATGATGAAAAGGACAAAGGGTGGGATGAAGGAAAGATTAATGAAAGGAACAAATGTGAAGTACAAATACATATAATCAAATTTGCACAAGGAAAGAAAAAAGAAGTAAAAAATGCATTTAAATGTATAGAAAAATTTAAAAAGCGTTTCCTCCGTCCAACACAATTGATTCTAAAATTATTAAAATTATCAATTTTAGGTAATACAAATTTTAATTTAAGTAATTAAGTATTAATGAACGTATCATATTATTCTAAGCATAATTCAAAATTGTTTTTTTAGGTGAAGGTCAATAATAAATTCATAATGTACACATATTGAGAGAAAAACTGTGCTTATTCAAATACATAATAGAAAATGGTTTATTATTAAATTAAAAATGTCATTGGAAAATTATTATTTTTATTTTATTTGCAACTTTGAAGTTGTCTTTGTACATTTATATAGTTCAGTATTTTTAATAGTTAATTGGTTCCATTCGTGTTTCAATTATAGTCGAGAACTTTAATCTAATTTAATCCAGTTATTAAAGATAAATATGTCTCGAATTACGTAGTATATGGTCCCATTTTAATGAGGAAAATGTCACGAATATGATGGAAAAAGCTGCATAAAAAATAGATGAAAATTAAAAAAGTTAGCAACCCATTAAAGATTGTAAACAATTGAGTAGACTTTTGATCTTTGCTGACTGCCACTCTTCTCTGCGTTAAAAACTTTTATCGTCAATTAAACCAATAAATATAGTGTAAATTATATAAAGCTTGGTCTCATTTTAATAAGAAAAATGCGAAAAATTTAATAACGAAAAGGTAAAAAATAAAAAAAAGTTTATATTTGTATTGGTACGATCTCACGAATATACCCGAACCCGGATCATGTTACAGTATTCTCTCCGTAAATGTTAAAAAAATCTTTACCGTAAATGTTAAAATTTTATTCCCACTACTGGGGGGGGGTGTGAGACATTTCTTACATAACAATACCAAAGAATAGGATTTTGAAATAACAATAGATATTATACATGTATACTTATTTTCGGCTGACAAGACGTGTTTGTAGAAACAGTAAAAAATTGGCGACTGCATGTTGACTCATTCACCACCAGAGACATGGAGGCATACGTAGAATTCAATATACAGTATTCACTCCGTAAATGTTAATAAAAAGATTTCTACCGTAAATGTTAAAATTGTATCCCCACTACTGGGGGGATCCCCCTCGAAATCAGTCAAGAATGAAACACGATCGGTCGCCGAAACGACGAGGATCGAATATTGGTAAGACACATATTAATGCAAGCAAAGGAAAAGATTGTAACTTTCTTATTTCTTACTATTTTTTCATGAAACTTTTACTGTTGTATTTGTCTAGATTTCCTGATTAAAATGACACCAAACATGATATAATTACGTTAACAATTGTGTGTGTAACGAGTGATTGAAGTTTTTAACATAAAAGAGGAAGGCGAATGGAAAAGAAAGAGAGGCAGAAGATTGAAGCGTTCGGCAAACATGAAAGACTCGTACCTGTTCTGTCTTTTAAATTCAAAAATCAAAATTCTTTATTTTTAGTTTTTCGTCAATGGACTTTTTACCATCGTATTTGTCTCGTTTGTCTGATTAAAATAACACCAAACACGATATAATTATGATCGTAATTACTTATGTAACAAGCTATAAAAGTTTCGGACTTTCACATTTACGGCAAACTTTACATTCATGGCAGAGATACGAATTTCTCCTAACGGCTTGCTATAAAAGTAATTATGATTTTAATTATATCGTGTTTGGTACCATTTTATTCAGAAAAACGAAACGAATACGATAATCAAAGTTTTATTCACGAAAAAACAAAAATAAAATATTTTGATTTTTGAATTTAAAAGACAGATCACGCACGAGCCTTTCGTGTTTGCCGAACCTCAGTTCCTCTTTGTCTTTTGTGTTGCTGTCTTTTTCTATGTTCGGTTCACTATAAAGAATGTAGTACCTATTCCATAAATGTTACAATCGAGACCGGCAGTTGTAACATTTACGGAGAGAATACTGCATATTTCCTAAGGCGTCTCAAGGGATGTCCCCCTAGTGGTGGAGATATCATTTTTGCTAATATCGTAAAGAAAATTTTTGCATATATAGAATGATTACTGTATTGCGGGTAGATCAGTCTTGCAAAAGAAATCAATTCCAAAGTTACAGTCACAATCCTTCAACTTCCATATTTATCGAAAAATATATCATTCCACGCTGTGTGTAAAATTTGTGAGTGCAAACGAATAGTGGTGAAGTAATAATTATGTCAAGCAGCAAACGAGTTGTTCTAACTATGCAACAACGTTTGGACATTTTAGAAGATTTGAAAACATTTTCTATTGCAAGTGCCGCGAAAAAACATAAAGTGCATTACACCACCATTCGACGCATATTAGAAAGAGCTCCAGAAATTTTAAAATTCGCGGAAAAAGATAAGAAGGAGAAACGTCGACAAAAAATAAGAAAACCATTGTACGAGGAATTGGAACAACAACTGCTTATATGGTACACAGAAAGGAGAGCTACAGGCAACTTCGTATCCGATGCGCTGTTTCTAGAAAAGGCAGTTGAATTAAAGGAACAAATAGGAACGAGTACACATTTTAAAGCCAGTGCAGGGTGGCTTGCAAAGTTTAAAAGACGCCACGGAATAAGACTAGTCCACGTGTACGGAGAACAAGCCAGTGCCGATAAAAATGCAGCTAACAAATTCATAAGTTATTTCAGGAAATTCTTGAACGAACAAAATATTGATTTAGACAATGTATATAACATGGACGATAGTAAACTATTGTGGAAGGCATTGCCAGCGAAAATCTTTGTGGGAAAAAATGAAATGTGCGCAAGCGGACAAAAAATGAGAAACGAAAGAATAACTGTGAGGTTTTGTACAAACGTAACTGGGATGCACAAAATGATGCCCCTTGTTATCAATAAATACAAAAACCCACGAACGTTGCAAAATATTGAACTGCCAATCATTTTTAAAAATGAGCCAAATGCACAGACAGACCCATCATTGTTTGTTGATTGGTTTGAAAATTATTTTAAGAAAGCAGTGCGGACATTTCAACTACAGAAAGGATTGCATGGTAAAATTGTATTACTAATTGATAATTGTTCAAATTATATATTTCCACCAACCTACACACACGACGATTATTTTCAAATAATATATTTACCGCCGAATACAAAAGCCTTGATTCAGCCAATGGTTCAAGGAATAATAGAAAAAACTAAAAGATGTTTCCGACATAAATTAATGCAGTACGTAATTCGAAATGAAAATGGAATCCAAGATTTTGATAAGAAATACACAATCAAGGATTGTATCAAAATAATTAATGACGCGTGGAATGAAATAACGCAAAACGATATAAAAAATGCGTGGAAAAAAATTATTGCACCACATCAAATGGAAATTGAAATAGCAGCAGAAGAAGAGGAAAAAGGAGACATCATATCAGAAATGCGACAAATTTGCACGCATTTCTCTGAACAAAATATAACAATAAAAGATATTGTGGACTATTTATCTACGTGTACGGCAGAGGAAAATACATATTCAAAAAACGATGAAGAAACTATCGAAGAGAGGAGCCAGGACGAACACGAAAGTATGGAGATAGAAATAAATGAACACATAAAACAGGAAAGGGACAAAGAACATAATGAAGAAGGGGATGAACACGAAGAACGATTTCATGAAGTTGAATTTACGCAAGAAGAGAGAAAAAGAATAGAGAATGCGTTTGAATGTTTGGAAGAATTTAAAAATCGTTATTCCCTTTCAACACAATTCATTTTAAAAGGGCTAAAATTATCAATTTTAGGTAAGAATTTTTAATTTATGTAATTAAATATTAATAAATACGTCATATTATTCTAAACATGACGCAAAATAATTTTTTTTTAGGTAACGTTCAACAATAAATTCGTGATGAATACTATGCATTGAGAGAAAAAAGAAGCGTATTCATATAACAGTTAACGATTTATACATACCTCGACAAGACGAGAGGCACAACACGCTGCGGCACGTCCTATTAGGTTACTTAAACATAACTGACAAAGTACAAAAGTTTCGATGCATTACCACGCGACGGCACGTGGCGTCGGTATATAGGGAACTATAATAACAAAAGAATCGCAAATATCTGAAAGTCGTTTTTCAACCGCCACGCGCCGCTCACAGATACCAACTCCAACAATTTTGGCGGTCATCCTGAGAAGAAGTCATCAAATCACTGTCAGTATGGTTGGAAACCCTCTTTTACGAAATGGTTACGAAATTGTGGTATCGATTTTAATTGATGCTACTATTTTTCAAAGAAATCTATACCGTCAAATTTAATTTGTAAATAGTAGTGTATCTTAAGTAAGAGATATAAATTACACAAATAATGAATTTTTGTATTACTCATAAATTATTTTGTTCCAATTAAGTATCGTTCAATATATTTTTATAAAGAGAACGCCTATATTCTAACAATATGGGAACCAAATATCACTTGTAAATAACACAGACGTAAATATTAAAGTATAATTATACTTTTACTTTTTTCACCTTAATATATGTATGTCAAGTTTTTAAACTATCAAGTTTCTAAACTTCTATTTTTAAATAAAAGATTACATATAAAAAACAAAAAAGAATAAATTGAAATAGTAATGTGTAATACATAAAAATATGAATAAAGATTTATGATTTATATAACTTAGATCTTTTATTTAAAATATATTTAATTAAAGCATGGGTATGGTCATATACATATGTTTATATGTGATGAAAAAATTCTCAAAGGTTAAGCTCTTTATTAATAAACTTCAATGAAGCTGATACTTTCTAAAAATAATATATTGAAGACACGCTTTCTTTCCAGATTTCACTGTTGGTTTCCTTCAACAATTTGAATAAAAAGTTCTCTAAGTATAAATTATTTTTACAAATCAAACACAATCGATAGTGGTTACGGATGTTATTTATATTTAAATTCATGTAATTATGTATTGTATCAAAACACCAACAACACTTTCTTAAGTTATGTATATGAGCTAAGCTCGATTATGTATTTACATATGTCTTAAGTAAGCCAATTATAAAAGAAGTGCCATATGTTTTAAAAAATTTACAATGTACCTGAATTTTATTATAAGAATATTTCTGCAAATGTTAGTATTCATAGAACTGCTACTACTATTTTCATTGCATTAAATTACAGTTTCATTATACATATTATTATATCATTTACATAAAATTGAAATAAAAAATATTCTGTTTCAGAAGATTTACTTTTGGGACTGAATATTTAGAAAAAATATTCAATTCCCCATTTAATCTTTTTCTTTAGAAATACAGTAAAAATAAAACTGTGTTCCTTATTTTCATTCATCGAAGTTGTAGAATGCAAGGAAATATTAAATGAAGATATATATATAAGAAAACTATTCTTATGTTGAATTTCTCTTTTTTGAGCTTTTAAATGATAATTAGTTTATCTTAGACAACTATATGTATTTTCAATGTCAAAATTAGTTATATTAATTAGTTAAATTAGTTATATTATAGAAAATTATGTTTCTTTGTTGTCCTTACAGCATTGTGCATTGGAATTACTCTATTCTATAGAATATTACATAAATTTTATTAAATATGTATACTTTCAACATAAAACATTCTATGTCGACAAGCACCCTTATATGATATTTAGTATCAAACAAATATTTGAATACTATATGGTAATAATATCCTCTTGTATAACCTTTTGATATATCAAAAAGTTTAATAAATGTGTAAATTATTTCTGAATAATAATAACAACATTAACTGTAAAAACAATAGTAAAATTCATAGAATTTAGTAAATTTGGAAATTCTGTGTACAGAATTCAGTTTCTTTATACAAAGTTGAAATGTATTTAAAAATTGCAGTATTTGCTTATACTGTAGAAAGTGAATATGCTTGAGACGTTTCTTGTTGAATACCTTTTTTTCAGTTCTATCGAATATACTGACAGTTCATCCAACTTACATACCCTGAATAATTTATAAAGTTTACATTGTAGGAATACATTTTTTTTTTTATATATAAACTTCATAATTCAGAAGGGTATATTATGTAAGCATTTTTGTTATATAGATATTTAGATTAATTTTTTTATTATAAACCAAATGCTGTTATTATAAATATCTTTTTAATGTCGAAACATGCAACTATATTAATAAAAAAGGACAGACCTAACTTAACTCTAATGATAATAGTTAATGAATAATTTTTCTTAATTTTGAAATTTCCGAAATGCCTCCTTCTATAACCAAAAATTGCATGCATTACATAACGTGCCGCTCTAAATTATGGAACTTTGAATAAAAGTTTTTTCAATACAATATATACTTTGCAAATTGGTAGTTACAAATAGAGTTAGCCAGACTATACAATAATACATATAGAAATAATAAATTACTTCAATTCAGTTCGCATAATTGTTATTATCGAATGATGTAGTACAATGCATAAAAAGAATAGACGACGCAATATGAGTAGTTCATATTTCCTCATAAACAAAATGGCATACGAAAGAAGGAGAAGAATACCGACTGTCGGTAATACAGGAAATGTATTAGAAAATAGAGTTTATGTTCATGTACTATTCAGTATATTTTCTACATCAGTAAATATTCAATAGCTACAAATATCACGGGTTTGAATTTTTGCTCATATCGTAGAAAAGGACAGCGAGTGAAGGATACCGAACATAAAAAAAAATAACATATCGGTGCAATAATCCTAATGTAAGAATAACATTTTTTTATTTTTCATTTTTTTTATATAAAACTTTTACTATTAGATTTGTGATTTTTTCTGATTAGAATGAAATCAAATACAACGTAATACGAAACATTTGTAATTCTACGCATTTTACTTGTACGTATTGAGAATTTTACTCCAATAAGTTATTACAGATTAATATATCTCGAATTACGTTATGTTTGACATAATGAGGAAAATGTCACGAATATGATGGAGAAAGTGATATAAAAAATATATTAGAAATAAAAAAGTTATAATACATTAGGATTCTAAGCAATTGAACACGCTGATGATCATTACCGACTGCCACAATTGTAGCATCTCTTTCTTTTTCACTCACTATCCTACTTTACGTTAGAAATTTATATCGACAATTACACTGTACAACAAATTTTGACTTTTTTGGGATTTCGTAACGGCTACTATGAAATTCTTATAGTTTTTTGCGAGGTGAATACGAATTTGAAATCCGTTTTTCTCTAGAACGTACAGTTTTGGAGAAAATTAATTTAAAAAAAAATTGCAAATTTTTAACTTTGGAAATTTTTTGTGCTTTTACCGTAGCAGCTATTCAGTGGCTTTTTACACGAGAAGAATCTGTGAATTATCCTGAAAAAAATTATATAAATTGTTATTACATTGTAAATATTTAAATA